CCCCCCCCTCCGTAGTGCGAAAAGGTGACGGTCCCTGAGAAAGGTAAACTTCCAAACAGGGCGCAGCTCGGCTGCGTAGGGGCATTTCACTGCTTCCTACTAGACACTTAACGCTTTCGACACATGGAGATCTACGAATTCCTGTGAACCTGACAAGAATCTGCAGGTACGGGGTCCAAAGTAAGACTGTAAGTTAACAGAAATTAGCAAAAGATTAACGAAAGAGCAAAAAGCCCCTCCGAAGTCGAACAGCGGTGTATTTGTTATACCTACTGACATCAGGTATATAAACTTTACGTACTCATGCACAACAAAAGTACACAACTCTGCTGCTGGCAAGTCCCAGTATTGCAAATTCTCAATCCAAAAGACTCCTGCCCGTAGGTATACACAGGTGGAACCCTACAGCAAAATCGGATTGCATACTCTTTTCTCGAAAACGTTTTCCGACTCAAGATCCACCGCATCCGGACAGTTCGACGTTCCACCTCCAGCCTCATCGCATACTGCGTCCTTCTTCTTTTCAACAGCACTGAAAATTTTTTGTCAGGTGGGTTTTTTTTACCAGAAAGCACAATATTTCAAATGGACCACTATAACTGGGTACCTCTACAGGTAGACATACAAAGGCACAATAATTCAATGTTCAAGCCCACCTGAGGAACAAATGATTGTTGAAATCGAAGAAGGAGTAGCCCATCCAGCCGAAAACACTACATGCAATGAAGCTGAAAAAGCAAAGCACCAATCGTTAGGAAAAGTCCTCGGACATTTGAAACCTGAAATTCATCACTGCACAAAAAAAGAGGCAACCACAGCTAGTCTGAAATATGCTCCATTATTATCTATGGCCACTTGCCAACGAGTGGGTAGATGGTAGATGCCCTTCTCCTAGAACCTGCTTGGCTGGGCTTTGAAGAACCGTATAGAGCTTTTCAGGTTCGCTGTGTGCTTCAAATTTCTGACCTCCAAGATGGAGCAGGTCCAGGTCGAGAATACGGTGCGCGGGCCCGTGATCAGAAGGGTGTTTATGTCGAGCAGGGTGCTGCATCGTGATATGCGGGAAATGGTGAGTCAAGCGACGACGACCCCCTCGTTTCTCAAAAGGGCAGGGTCTCGTAAAGATCCCCCCACACTGCCCTAGTTAGCCTAGGGCCGCACCTACCTACCTCCTAGCCTTTTCTTACATGTTCTCAGCTTCCTACCAAATTTTGCGGAATTTCCCCATCTTCCAGTTTCCACCCAAAAATCAAAATTCTTCGTCGAGCGTGGCGGCGGGGTGGGAGAAGGGTAAGTAGCACATACATGGTGAAACGGGAAAAAACGCAAAAAGTCGAGTCAACAACCGGGAAAATTTTTTCCCAACGCGGCAAATGTTTCTCAAAAGGCACATACGACCCTTCCCCTCCCTTCGCAGCGGAAAAGCACGACTCCTCTATGTGTTTCACACAATGATGCTGTACTCTGATGGTGGGTGGAAAGGACAGCCCAGCCATAGGTCGCTAGTTCACACTTCGTCGCCCTTGCAATGTGTGGTCTGGCGTTGTCATGCTGAAAGTACACTTTGGCTTGCTTTCCCCATGTGTTCGTGAGGTGAGCCTTCAATTTCATTGCTGAGCAAAGTAGACGTCAGCAGTCGCTGCTGTACCTTCTTTCAGAAGCTCGCAGTACTCTACCTACGAACAATGCGCCAAATGCATAGCATCACTTTCTTTCCATGCAGGTCAGGTTTCGGGACGTCTTCTGCTTGTCCTCCTTTGTCTACCCATTGGGAGCGGCGGCGGACGTTGAAGTATATTATCCACTTTTGACTTCCGCCGATTAGTTGTCCACCATGCGCCAAATTTTTGACCTTTCCTATTGACTTGGACTTCAAATCCACGGACCACACCGTCGCTGGCAACAACAGCTTGGGGGGCGGCGGAATTGGTTTTGCATGGATTCGCCTCCACCTGCTCCCCTATCACGTTCAGATCCACAGTCCTTGGCCGCCCTGTCCCTTCCTTTCGTCGTCTTCGGCGAACCAAGAGTAGACGGCCTTGCGAGGGGGGGGGGGGGAGCATTCTCCTTCATAAATATCCTGCAGATGGAAGCGAGACTCATTAGAATTATGGCCAGAAAAGAACAGGAACAACAAGACGTTTCGGAGATGGTGTTCTTAGCAGATTAGTAACAAACCTCAGGTCAACGTTTAGAATGGTTTTGTGGACCGTTCTTTTCTCTATGGAACGGCTCTCCGAACTGCCCGGGACATTTCGAAGTTGGCGAGATAAACCTTTCCAAAAAAGTCAACAGTCAAAAAGTCAAGTCAAGTCAAAGTCAGTCATCCACAAATGTAGAGTCAACCTGATACAAAGAATCGACCGAATGAGTGGCGCGCCTCTCGAAACGCTAGATTGATACCTATCCTTAACTTTTCATGATTCGCCCCACTTCACCCTAATTGCACAATATAAACAATGCCTAAAACATTGGAATAGCGAAAACAATTTTTTGGGAGAATGCGCGCTAAAGCTGTAGATAGGGATCGACCGACTCCGGTCTCGTATTTTTTATTAGGTTGTCTGGAAAGTTCTCAGCGTTTTGAGTGTTTCACTTTAAACGATCATAACTTTCTTAATACTCATTTCAATCGAAATAAGCACCGTTCGAATCAGCACACTTTTGCCAATGTGACACCAGTCGAGAAATCCCATCAAAGAAAAAACTGGGTGGGAATCGAGAAATCCACGAAGGCTTTTTTGCCTGGTCCTGATTGATGAAGTATTTTCCAGCAAGGAAGTTCTGAAAATGTCTGAAAAGTCTTGGGAAAAGGGGGTTTATCAAGCAATGGTGAAACGGCAATTATACCATCAGATAGCGCAAAGAATTCTCTTCAGGATGTACTACTGAGACGCAAGGGAGAATGAGTTTTTAATCAGCAATGAATGTACAAAAAATAGTAACACAAAACGCTGAGAACTTTCCGGACAACCTAATATTTTGTTGAACATGAAACAGGTCAAAGAGGCGCCGTTTCCTTATTTCCAAATGCGCGGCGCATGACGCCGAGGATATCCGTCCATCCTTTGGCGCACACTCCGGTTAAGAACAAATTGGAGGATAAACAAGGATAAAGAAGACCAGAACATGATGGCATACCCAATATTGAGCTTGCGGCATCTTTCATTCCAAATTTGGACGTCTTCATAGGACTGATCACATAGCACAACAAAGAGTAAAGCGTGGTATGAAGGCAGGATCGATGCATTTCAGACTGGATTCAACGACCTAAAGGTAACTAACGTGGAGTGTTTACAAACTGAGATTTAAATAAGTGCGTTCATACTTTGCGAGCAGAGGGAGATTCGGCGATTTGGAGACCTCTTCAGTTTTGAGAGATAGGCAATAGAGGAACAGTAGTGAGCATCGATGGGCAATAGCGAGATTAAGCGACCGCCGCCTAACCCGCTAGTTTCGCGGTCGATCTCTCCCACGAATCAAGGTACAGCAGATCGTGATGTTGTGGCAATTGTGGCATCAGTCACCCCCCCCGAGAGGGGTCTCGGTGTCAGCGACACCCCCCTCCTCAGACGGCAAGCACCCCCGCATGTGTTTACAGCAACGGTGCTGGCACCCTGTTCAGTGTTTCACACAACGATGCTGCACCCTGTCCACAATTGCCAGATCGATACCTTCCTCGTCGCGAAACTCTCAAATCGCCGAATCTCTTCAGCCGCAAAGTATGAACCCGGCTCAAAGCGACTCACCTCAACTTTAACCATTGGGTTCAGCGCTTGTACCTTCTCATACGATGACTTCGCACGCTAAAAACACCGACGGTAACAAAAACATGGCTGATGCAGAAAGATCACAAAATATCGCTTACATTTTGACCAATAGAGCCATTTGCCAACAAAAAATTTGAATCGATATCCTCTTCGTCCACAATTTTATCATCCATAAGAGTGAGGGAACGTAAACCGCACAACATAAGATTTTTAGCGATTTCTGCGCCCACTCCTGACAATCCGTATAAGAACGCGCTTGCCGTATGCAACCTGGAAATTAGTATTTCACTGGAAATTCAAAATATCTTAGGCGACCTACTTTTGTTGGGCTTCCAATCCCCACAATCGTATCTGGCGGTCATATACTTCGGCTTCAGCTTTACTTAACTGGTCTCCACTACCGTCACTGGACGTCAGCGTCGGCTCATCACTTGACCCGGTTTGCATCCTCATAAAGTACTCAGTTCAGCAACCTTAGGAGTGTAGCGCTCTCTGAAAATGTGTTTCGAAGGGAAATTGCTTGCACTGCGAGAAAAGAGACATTTTTTTAAAAATAACTTCTCGAAAATGAGGCAATAAAGGTGAGTTCATACTTTGCGAGAGCGCGTTCATACTTCGCGGTCGCGCGATCCAGTCGAGATTTAGGAACACGAAGTATGAACGTGCTCCCGACGTTTTCATCGTACGACAGCGTTCTAAGCGACTAGAAATGCATAGGTTTTGATCTAGCATGCGTAAAGCAGCGTCTTTAGTTACTAGCAAAGCATAGATATCGATCCAGCGTTTTGAGCGTACGCGTTTTCAGCCACGAAAAGCTTAAAAGTACCCGCGAAACGCTAGATCGATACCTATATTTTCCGCAGCTTAGGGCCATGTTCATAGAACGCGGCGTCGCGAACTCACAAAAAATGTCTACGTATGGATCTAGAACTGGAGAATCGAGACATAGAAGGGGCTATATTTCTCGCGCGATCTTTCTGCCACCGACGTGTCAAAACATGTAGGCAAACTGTCTTCCAAGAAGGACAACTCGTCCGGAACTCCAAACTAGTGCATTTCTTCTAACACTTCCCTGAAGGACAGCTAGTAGATGATCTCGTTCAGATAAATGAGCGCCGAACTTGGCACTCATAGCTTTGAGTGGACTGTAAATTAATAGAAGATAGATAAGTTACGGAAACTTTACACTTTGGTGATTTGGACGAGTTGTCCCACTTGGTAAACGCGATGTGTTAGCTGTCATTACACGCCAATGGCAATGTGACCATGTGAAAAGACCGTGAAAGTTCTAAACCCGCCTTTGGAAGAACTCGAGAAATGGTGGAATTGCACAATCGACGAGAAGGAACACTAAATGACAAACAGAAGGTCATGAATTCGTATACAAAATACATGACCGTCGCTTGCGACAACAGTGTGCGAAAATTGAACTGAGCCTTCAAGAAAGCATGTTGCGAATGGAGCGCAGGTTTTAAATGGAGCAGATAAATCGAGAATATTTTCGAAAGAACAGGTAAGTCGGAACTATTTCCGGAATGCAGTACTGTAGATTTCTCAGTCGAAATTTCTCAGCGCGTTGATATACCACCTTTAATTCCTCCTCGTGGGAGTTTCAACAAGGAAACGACCTATAGTAATTACAACTATGCCGAGGTTTATTGAGAGCCGAACATGGCGATTTTCGAAATGGTCCATTATGTGCAGCTCACATCGGAACAAACGTCGTACTGAGAAAATGCGTAAAAGAGTGGGCTAGTATCGATCGACGCCGGATTCCACTCTTTGGAAGAATCGCCGTTTTAAGAGTGAGTGTAGAGCGCGCTCTACACTTGCTGCATCGCACGCACTATCAACAGTATTTCCTAGCTAGTTGACTGGAAAGACACAAGCACAGATAGAGAGCCAGTTGACTTAAGCTACGCAGAGAGAGTCGACGCCTCGCAGCGAAGCCACGTTGAACGGATTGGTCCTGCGAGAATTCAGGAGGTCTGACATCCGCCTGCTTCCCCATGTAAGTGGCCGCTCTCCAGGGGGCACGACTCGAAAGTAAACCCGCACAAGGAATGCCGCGGAACACAATGAAAAAGCACGCGGATGACCGCTAGGGCAGGCCATGACGCTCAGCAGAGAGGAGGAATACGGCGGTGAGACAGCGATCCCACTGGTATACTAGTATCAATATCGGTTATGGTGAAAGTGGGGCTTACCACCTAAAGATATGGGGACAAGGTGTAGACGCTTCAGGGCGTATTTACCCTTAAAAAGTGTTTTATGTTGAGCTGATTGACACAACATAAGCACCACACAAGAGAAGACAGACAGACACATGCACTCCCACAACCGAAGATGGGGAGGGCGTCGCTGCGTGCTTGGTTTGAAGACGCTTTCTCGTGGAGACGACAACGTTACACTTGTGCTGTGCAGAGACATGATGAAGCTTGTTCCGAAACGGCAGTATCCAAAAGCGCGGTTGAAAAAAAAGCTGCCATCGCGATCAAATGAGACACACAGCCACGCCCACTCTATCTGCGAGGCATGGAGTGTACGCACACGCTCAGACACACCTAGATGATTGTATGTGGTGGGACTTTCGCTTATAGCTGATTTCCAGCGGCTATAAAAGCCACCATCCGTGTTTGGAATATTTCATGCAGTTTCCGCGCCCCAGCGACAATGACAGGGTCAGCGACGCGTGCGGACGTGCCACGCGTCCGCCGTAACTGGGCCATGTCGTTCCTCTTGCTTGCGGTGACAGTTCCAATGGATTTACATTGATATTTGCAAGCCTGTGCTCGTGTGATGGGACTGTTCTGAGATGCGGAATGTCGTCCGATAAAGTACGAATCGTTGAGTAGTAAGTACATTCCTAGTTCTTCACGCTTTGTTATTTTTTTGCTCAGTCATAAAATCGTCTCTAGCTTTCTAATTCTTTTCCGTTGATGCATTCATTACGTTATGCTTCCTTCTAAAAATTTCTTGGGAAGCTTTCAGGCTTTCTTAGTTTTCAAGAATTATACAGCTTCGCACGGTGATGGGGCGGGGTCTCCTATTATAAGTTTGTGGGAGAGTCCTCTCCCGCTAACGCACGTCGCATGTTGAGGATCCTAAACGAGGAGCGGGGGTTAGTTCGTGAATGGCTTTGAGAGGGATATTCTCGGCCAGCTCCGCTTTTCCATAGTTCAGAGCACTGTATTCCCCATCCCTGGCCGGTCGGCGACAGTTTCCCAGGTTTTTTTTGGGGAAAAAAGTGGAGGAGTATTCGGGGAAAAAATCCGTAGAATTGGCAGAAAATTGGGAAAATTCAAGAAGGTCGATAGGATTGCGGATGGGAAGAAAGGGGTCGTACCGGAGAACGAACTTTTAAGAGAGTTGTATTTTTCAAAAATGTTCTCAACGGCGAGGCGTGCCCTGCTGATAAAAAGTCGTTGGCAGAATGAAAGGGGGACACAGGGCGCCCACAAAGTGTGACATGAAAATGCGCTGTCTTTATATCTGTTTATTTTTCCGTTTTTCTTGGATATGATGCGCACATATCGGCATTTTAGCACGTGTACGAACTGGGCCCTAAGCGCGAAAAGTTTCCAAACGCAGCATCTGCTTTTTTAGCTTTTTTTGCTTATTTCAACGTTTTATTTTTTTCCAAACACTTCTTATTGGATGAAGGTCATTCGCATCGATAAAATCAAGCGAAAATTACGCAGAAGGAGAGCTAGAAAAAATATTTGCGGCTTCCGAGGCAAACCAGCGCATCATCCGCGGGTGCGCCTTATACAGCAGTATTCTAATTGTGAAGGACGTGAAGTGTTCGTTTAGACTCGATAGAGAATCTGAATTATGATCGCCAGTATTGAAAAATATGTGTCGCTAGGTGAAATGGACAGTAAAGTGTAAGGACTCGGGAAGTATTTTTGAGGAGCTCCGACGATATGACACGTTGTAATAAATACTGTAGCAATGATCGAATTCGAACTGTAGCGGATGATTGGCTGATTTTAACACGTTGTTGGCAGCTATTTTTACTTGTCCACTTCTGTAAAAGTAACTATCAGCAAACCCTCCACACCTTGGCCTTTTTAATGTACAATATTGTAACCTGACTCACTTGATACACAAGGACCGAAATCAACACGTGCTTAGAGAGGTGTATGTCTCGACAAATATGAAAATAACCGGTAATAATAAGAGTTCTGTTTACCAGCTAATCAACAATGTCATTTAGTTATGATGATGCACAATCACTTGTTGGGACCGTCATCGTCAGCTGCGAGCACTAGTGGGTTGCAAACAGCTGCTGCTCTCTCAGAAGGTAACAACATCCGAACTCTTTGTTGAACAGTGATCTTTTCATTTTAACCGATCTATAATTCGGATTTTTTTTTGTTTATGCTGTCCCGAAGTCTCATGAGTATCTGTCACCGATAACGTAAAGAGGCTCCCAAAATTTCTGTTGCTCAGCAGCTGAGAACTCCCTCGTATATTTTCGGATATGTCGCAGCCTAGCCCCTTGTACAGCGACCTAACTCTCGTCTAACAGTGTGCTCAATGGTAAAGGCGTTAATTTAGTTCCACGTGGGTCTACCTGGTGTCAGCGGCGTGGCTACCCTCACAGGTGCCTCTCCTCGTTCGGAATTTGGAAAACTTCATCTTAAAGGCAAAACCCGCCGTCATTCGCCATCACAGCTATTGGATTAGGGGTTCACATATAGACAGAAGGTTCTGAATAACTCAATAGTAATGAAAAAAAAGCAGAAAAAATACGTCAACTGCCCTAGAGAACCCTATTTTGATCCCGTGTTGTACGTTCTCAGTTCACATCATTTCCAATACTACACCTTTCGCACAGCCGAGCCCCAGATAAGAACTCTGCGACCATACAAGTGACAATTTTAATGATTTTTCGTCCTACAGCTTAGTTTTTCACTGAAAGGCGGGCCTTGAAGGC